TGCTGGCTCAGGCGATAAACTACATCCACGTCCTGGGTAAGGCGATAAACTACATCCACGTCCTGGGTAAGACGATAAACTACTTCCGCGTCCGGGGAAAGATGATAAACTATATCCGCGTCCTAGGTAAGATGATAAACTACATCCGCGTCTTGGATATGACGATAAACTACATTCTGGGTAAAACAATAAACTACATCGAACAGCAAGGCCTCTGATCAGGAGGTTTTGATGAGTGTGGAATCACTTCTTAATTGCTGGTGTTGCCAGGTCCACCCTGACCTTGGGTGGTAGCACCTCTTAGGGTCCTATCTATGGGCAAATAGTTAACCCACAAACTGAGGAAAAACACTACGAAAGTGTAAAATAGGTTTTAATACCAGCAATAAATTTTTGAAGAAAAAAAAAACTATTAGCAGCAATACATTTTTGGAAAAAATATTACCAGCAATAAAGATCTTGTCAGCATTAAATAACCTATTGACGTTGATATGACGTATAAGAAAAAACAAACCAGATTCTCTACAAATCAGCTTTACAAAAATACCTCAATGATACGTGATCCATAAACTGATTTCTTACAAAGAATACACAGTCTATTCAAAATATTCTATCCTAGAAATCTTGACAGTTATTAAATAACCCATTAAGGTCGATATGTCGTAAAACAAACCAAACCAATCTAATTTCAAATAGGGAAATTAATGAAGATTTTGCTAAATCGTTAAGTTCCTTAAGAAAAGTGTGAAAGAAGAAATGAAAATGAAACATATAAATATTAGAGTTAAGAATTTTGACTGAGCTTTAAAAAAATTGGTAGATTAAGTAATGAATATTTTAGCCGGGATTTATATATATATATATAAAAAAAAAATTAAAAGTAAAACAAAAAACAAAAAAACAAAACCAGAAACACTAGTGTTCAAAATGTGTAATTTTAAATAAAAAAGGGTAATCAAACTTTTACGATTATCCAACCCGCAAAACTTTTATTTGTTTACTTTGAAAACAAAACAGAAAATACGAAAATTAAATAATAAAGTATTTTATAAACTGTAAAGGCATAAACAACAAACAAACAAAAAACAAAAATCAACTAAAATAAATTTAAATAAATGACTAAATATCATGATCGCTATCATTTTCTACGAAAAAAAAAAAAATCACTCATTAAGGTTATCCAGAAGGATGAGCAACTGATAAAAGTCGTAGGTTACAATGACCGCATGTATTATATACGGATATATGGTAACTTTCCAAGCGTAGCTTAGATGTGGCACAAGGCCGAAAGAATGGGGTACCGAATGAGCATCTAAGTCACTAATCAGTTGTAATTGATCTAGCGAGACAATCTTGCTAACCATTACACCACGTCGAGGTACACATACATAAAGCTATATGATGAAAAAAAAAAAACAAAAAAAAAACAAAAAAAAAACCCTACGTCTTTTCAGCGAACATCGAGGCCTTATTTGATTGGTTAATAGGCATAATGATAGACCAATCAGAAGACAGGAGGAGATTTTCGGACGGAAAATAATTTTGTACAGTAAGGTTATTAAGCAGTAAACTGTTCAGATCTGAAATCATTCTCCCCCCCCCACACACACACTGTTCAAGGTGATGGATCAAGCCCACTCTTCGAGTATCAAAAGCAATAATCCAATAAGACGTTATTAATGTATCACTGGTGTATGAGTTGAATATTTCAAGGTTAAGGGATACAACACTGCTGTGTACTATATGGCTGTTGACCCTGAAAGAAGGTACATCTTTTCTTTGACACGTATTGTTTTTAATCCTGTTGATTGTCTATCCACCCTCCTGACTAGATAATCCAACGAAAGAAAATGATTGATTAGTATTATTTCTAGAGTAACATTAAAAAAAATTAAAACAGATATTGTCAGTTATTATTGATTACTATACAGTACAGTATTAAATGTCCGTTGCTATTTGCAATTGCTGTTCAAGAAGCAAATTTCCATGAAAAAGAACAGATCACTGAAAAAAAAGTAAACTCATATGAAAATAAAGGGAATACACCTCAATAAAAAAAAGAGTACATTCCTATCGAAAAAAGAAGATACTCTAATAAAAAAAATACATTCGTATGAAAAACAGAAGATCAAACTTTATTTAAAAAAGAGTACTCCCCTATAGAAAAAAAAGAGTACACTCCTATCAGAAAAAAATGAGTACACTCCCATGCAAAGACAAAATAAACACTAAAAAAATAACGAGTGTTATGAATAATCAAGTGTGGTCTTTCCTTGTTTCGTTACTCTCCTTTTTGAGAGAGTTATTTCTATTTACTGGGACTATAAAAGGACACTATACACGAACTTTGTATTCTCAGTTAAATAAAGCTTTCTTAAAGCCTACACCTGCGTACTTTTTTCATTACAGTCTCAGATGTCTTCTTCAGATTTGCAAAAAAAAAAAAACGTATTAATTTATATGAAAGACATCTCTTGATTTTTTGGTCGAATTATTATTTATGCAGTGTATACCCATTTTCAAAAACAGGTAATCTCTTTCATCAGTAATCAAGAGTGGTCGCCCTTGTTTCTTTACTCTTCTCTTCGATAGAGCTATTTATGTTTATTGGGACTATAAAAGGACACTGTACGCGAACCTTGTATTCTCAGTTAAATAAAGCTTCTTAAAGCCTACACCTGCGTACTTTTGTCATTACAGAGAGTACACTCCTATGAAAAGGCTATGAACCTATGAAAAATGAGTACACTGCTATGAAAATATTCACTAGTATGAAAACAGAATAATCACTATAAATGAAGGGTACACCCTATTTAACAAGATTGCACTCCTATGGAGAGAAGTGTACATTTCTATGGAAGAAGAATACACCCTATGGAAATCAAGAGAATACACTGCTGTAAAAATGAATGTATTCTTATAAAAAAAAGAGAACAAACTTTATGGAACAATGAGTACTACCCTATGAAAAAATGCAATTGTGTGAAAACAGGTTAAACTGTACGAATCATGGGTACACCCCTATGAAAAAGACTATACACTAATGAAGAGAAGTGTACACATGTATGAAAAATGAGCTTAAAAAAGAAGTGTACACGTCTATAAAAAAAAGTGTGCGCCCATGTGAAAAAAGAGTACACCTCCAATATAAAATGAAATTAATAAGTCTATGCGGAAAAGGCATAAACACGAGAAGGCTAAACACGAGAAGGCTAAACATAAAAAAGAAACTGTAATACATAAACACATGACGTGTAAACAACGAATCTATCCCGAGGGATTACAAAAAAAAAAAAAAAATTCAATCGAATTATTTCTTTTCAATTATTTTTATCTTTACTACAAAAGAATTTTTCCTCTATTGTGTCTCGTCCGGAAAACACACTGATTTTTTGTTGTATTTGACTAAAGTTACTTTGTACTGAACTCGCCCGAAGGGCAAGTGACTTTGAGATCGAGATGAAAGTTCCTGTGTTAACGACCTTCAACACCTGACTGCTACCTATCAATCCTGTTTTGCAAAGTAAAATGGTATTTTCCTGTAAGATTAAGGATTCCTTGCCAAATCAAATCTTTTAAATAACTCCTATTAATTAACACTATTTTCGTTTTCGGGCCTTGGAATTTTCGATCGAGCCCTCTATTTAATCACCCAAAGAGGGCTGGAGAGTAAATCGACCGAAAAGTCGGGAATATGACAACGACAACAGTCCGAACAAAGTAAATTGATTAAATCATTAGAATACCTATTCTCAGAAATATAGACAAACTCCTAATAAATCATCAATTCAAATCATGTCAGCGAGAAGAGAAAGATACTTTCAAAACGATGAACCGTCCTGGGTAAGACGATAAACTACATCCGCGTCCAGGGTAAGACGATAAACTACATCCGCGTCCTGGGTAAGACGATAAACTACATCCGCGTCCTGGGTATGACATCCGACAGCAAGGCCTCTGACCAGAAGGTTTTGAAGAGCGTGAGACCACCTCTTAATTGCTGGTGTTCCTAGGTCCACCTTGATCCGGGGTGGTAGCGCCTGTTAGGGTCCCAGCTATGGGAAAATAGTTAACCCCGCAAAAAGTTTCAAAATGCTATGAAAGTGTAATAATAGGTTTTAATACGAGCAATACATTTTTGGGGAAAAAAATTACCAGCAATACATTTTTGAAAAAAAAATACCAGCAATACATTTTTTAAAAAAAATATTAGCAACAACAAAAAACAAAAAAAAGTAAAAAAGAATTACCTGCAAAAAAAAATAACTCATTGAGGTTGATAAGCCATAAAATAAACCAAACCATAACAATGAAGTCAATGACGTTGATTGGATAAAGCAGAAAAATGGCGACTATGTTGTTTACCAAAAGTAACCACCAGGAAAAAAAGATGACGGCTTTGACTGAAATAAAACTATGTTTAGCTATGGTACTTGTCAATACAAGTGGAGGCCTTCAAACTGGTAGCTTTAAAGACAGGCGTCAGTTTTAGAAATTCTGGAAAAATCAAAAAAAAATCAGCGCTTTGAGAAAGAACATTAAAAGAAGAAAATGTCTTAAAATACAGAGTTGAATATTTCCCTGGATATTTATGGGGAGGTTCGATACAACGTATTTATTGAGCAAACATGGCCGTTGCTTTTTATGTCCTCTCATTAAATGGATGGACATTAAGCGATTAATTTTATGGAATTTTCAAAAGCCAATTACCTCTGTAATTAGATCTGGTTTCTCCTGTTAGAATAATCAAATAGTTTGCAGCTTTTTGTTTTGTATACCGTCGTTGATGAGGACTGCTATTATTTTAACCCAACAGTGACAAAGCTGCATATATTTTCAGACGGAGTTACTTAATTATTGCCAACAAACAAGGCACCGAATTAGATATAAAGTGATTGCCATAAATGCTAAAGTGTTTGGAAATGTATTACATTTTCCCTGTAAGAATATAGTATAAATATTCTACTTTTGCCTTGTTACTAATGCTTAAGGTATATAAGGTTGAAACACCTGTTCCCGAAGTTAAGCAACGTCGAGCCTGGTTAGTATCTAGATGGGCGACCGCTTGGGAATAGCAGATGCTGCAAGCTTGGATGCGCGGATGGTGTAATGGATAACGGCTCGAAATTGTTATTCGGCATTACATTTTTATACATTAAAAAAAAATCAATTTAAATATTAAATTTAGGGTCATCTCTCTATAATACACATATGTAATCACATCAACGTAAACATCACTTTAGTCTGATACAGACTAGTACTTGATTTGATGATAAACTACACCCGGCAGCAAGCCATTGGAGGTTCTGAGGAGAGTGGAACCACCTCTTAATTGCTATTATTCATATGTCCACCCGAAACCGAGTTGATAGTGCCAGTTAGGGTCCCAACTATGCGCAAATAGTGAAAAAAAAAAAATCAAAACACTATGAAATTATAAAAGTTTATTTTTTTTTGGTAAAAACATCAGCAATACATTTTTATATAAAATATTGCCATCAATACATATTTATAGTAAAATTACCAGCAATACATTTTAAAATCAAAATGACGAACAATATATTTTATTACAAAATGACCAACAATAAATCTTATCTGTAGTTGAAGGTATGCAAAGGCTTTCAAAATATATTTTGTTGATGCCATAAAATTGAGTTAAAAATATTTAGATTTCAACATTAAACACTCAATAAAGGTGTTGATATGCCGCTAAATAAATCCCCTAACCGAGTGATGAAACCGTAAAGGACGAAACAAGGCCGGCGAATACTTTTCTATATTGTCATAGATCTTCTTAAATTACATATATCTAAAATATATATATATATATATATATATATATATATATATATATATATGTATATATATATATATAATAAATGCGTAATATAGCGAAGCAAAAAGATTCATTGTTAAATGTAAGATAAAATTTAAGGCCTAAAATTTGATATAATCATTTTTTCTACCACGTAACGTTACATCGAGCAATGTTTTATAATCACAAGCATCCAGAGTAGAACATAATATTATTATTATTATTATTTTTAAATATGTATTCATCGCTACACAGAAATTAGCATGTTTCGGAACCAAAACTTAAATTTTAAATTAAAGTTAAAATTAAAGGGTTTTTGTTCCATTTTCAAGTCATGCAAAATAACTTTCCTTAAGTTTAATTTAAGATTTACGTTTTGGTTTCGAAACTTGGTAATTTCTATTTTATATATATAATGAATTTATATTTTTATAAAAAATAATTATAATTTTATGCTCTACTGTGTATCGAGCACTGTCTTTAAAAAAAAACAAAAACTTTGGATTATGAATCTGACCGTACCTTCTTTATATATATATATATATCATTATTCGAAAATTATAACAGGTTCAAAACAATCAAACACCCCTCGCTAGCGGAAACGCTGTTACATAAACTGGAATGAACAATTTTGAAGCTTTTAAAACCCTTTATTCTACATTCAACACCATCACTTGATAAGACACCAGAAGTGTTGAAACAAAATGGCTATTTTTGTGGTGATTTTATAACTTTTTTATGTTATAATTTTCGAAAAAATGATTATATTTCCTATACGCTGTATTGAGCACTCTTTTAAGAATAGTGTTCGTTTGTTATTGGAATTTATTCCGTATACACAAATCCTATACTTGGAGATATATATATATATATATATATATATATATATATATATATATATACTTGGAGATTTTTCATAACGTCTGATAAGCTTAATAACATTATCATTAAACGAAGAAAGAAAATCACAATATTGATATATATTTTTTAATCCTATCTGAGCCATTATCAAAGATGACAATTACCTTACAATATATTAAAAAATACACGGACAAAACAATAATGATAATCTGTTTTTGTTTACATGGAAGATTTCCAAGCAACGAAAAACTAGTGCATATGAGATGCTGGAAACGAAAATCATGCATATATATATATATATATATATATATATATATATATATATATATATATATATATATATATATATATGCTCATAACGCATCTCTTTTCAGTTATGAATTGAGCGTTCTTGGCTACAGATTAGGGTTTGTATACATCATGTATATAACACGTTAAAAGATTCTTTTTCTCTAATATTTGAGTTGTTGTTAGATGGAATTGACGAGCCTAGAACTTTCTACAATTTCAAATTGTCATCTTCAGGCCGCAATCTTTTCATATACAAGCAAAATACCAAGACAAACATGTGTAGTGTATCTCGAAAGATGTTTTTTTTTTTAAATATGCTATTTATTGGCAGTTATATTATTTTCTTTGAATTTTGTAATGTGAGAAATCCATGAAATTTTGTTGTTATATTTGTTTTTCAGTTAGAGTGGCATGGACTTGTTGCTTTCCCTGTATATGGAAAAAAAGGATTAGGCCCTGAAGATGACAATTTGAAATTGTCGAAATTACTAGGCTCGTCAATGCCATCTGACAGTAACTCAAATATACAACAACTCAAATATAGGGATCGTATTATTCAAGAATTCATAGTAAGTTAATGACCCATTAAGTCTTGCGAGCGAGGGGATTACACTATTAATCTCATTAATATTGCTAATTCTGCTAATTCATTCTTTGTATAAATTACTTTTTTTTTATGATGTAATATATATATATATATATATATATATATATATATATATATATATATATATATATATGTGTGTGTGTGTGTGTGTGTGTGTGTGTGTGTGTGTGTGTGTGTGTGTGTTTGGTGGAATGTGGTCGAGTTAAAATTTAATCTGCATAATCAGTAGTTATAACTGTTTTCTATGACGATAAACTGCTGGAATGTTAAGTTTAAGAAAACGTACCAAACCTCCTCATTGATATAATTAAATACTTGATTTTCAGATAAAGATTTTATGTACTTTTTTCTCTATTAGTTTCTATGTCAGAACATTCCATACAATTGATTCGTTTTAATTATGAAAAACTAAATGCCGTCATGAGTGTTTGTAAGAAAGCAAAAAAAGAAGAAAGAAAAAAAAAAAAGAAAAAGGAAAAAAAAGAAAAAAACTAAAAAGAAGAAACTGTATCAATGTAAGCAAATTGGTTGTAATATTTGACACGTACGATGTTTACTGAATAGTTAATCCACTCAACGATAAATTTGCTTAAAACAAGTCCAGGATTATCAATACTTTTCAGCTTGCTTAATTCCTGATCTGTTGATTAAGCTAACGATGTACACACAAATATACACGTCATCTTAATTGCACACCGATGTAATCATAAATCCTTTTTTTTTTTTACTCATAACTCATTAACCTTTGCTATATTAGAAAAGATTTTGCTAAAAAAAATTGAATTATTGAGAATCAGAGCAACGAACTAAGCAAGAAAACTAATATCATTTGTTGCTTAGTTGTTTTTGTTCAGCGACATATCGACCTTATCAAGATAATAATGTATTTAGTAACACAAGCCTTACTAATTAACCCATAGCTCGGGGGAAAGGTAGATTCATGCCTTTCCCAAGCGTATTTGTATAAGGAAACATAGCGAAACGAACGGGAAAAAGAACATGACTCTCCGATTAGTAATTCCGAGCCATTATCCATTACACGACCCCCGCGAACAAGTTTACAGCACCTGGTATTTCCAAGCGGTTACCCATCTATGTACTGACCAAGTTAGACGTTGCTTAACTTCGGTGATCGTACAGGAACTCGACTCTCTGATTAACAAATCCGAGCCATTATCCATTACACCACCGGCAGATCCAAGCTTACAGCAACTGGTATTCCCAGGCGGTACTGTTCCCATCTAGGTATTGACCAGGCTCAACGTTGCTTAACTTCGGTAATTTTACGAGAAATTGGCTTCACAATTAATAATTCCGAGACATTATCCATTACACCACCCGCGCATCCAAGCTTACAGCACCTGGTATTCCCAAGCGGTTACCCATCTACGTACTGACCAGGCTCGATGTTGCTTAACTTCGGTGATTGTACGGGATTTCGACTCTATGATTAACAATTTCGGGCCATTATCCATTACACCACCCGTACATCCAAGCTTACAGCACCTGGTATTCCCAAGCGGTTGCCCATCTATCTACTAACCAGGCTCGACGTGGCTTAACCGGTGATCGTACGGGAACTTGACACTCTGGTTAAAAATTTCGAGCCATTATCCATTACACTACCCGCACATCCAAGCTTACAGCACCTGGTATTCCCAAGCGGTTACCCATCTAGGTACTGACCAGGCTCGATGTTGCTTAACTTCGGTGATTGTACGGGATTTCGACTCTATGATTAACAATTTCGGGCCATTATCCATTACACCACCGGCACACCCAAGCTTACAGCACCTGGTATTCCCAAGCGGTTACCAATCTCGGTACTGACCAGGATCGACGTTGCTTAACTTCGGTAATCGTACGGGAACTCAACTCTCTGATTAACAATTCCGGGCCATTATCCATTACACCACCTGCATCTCCAGGCTTACAACACTTGGTATTCCCAAGCGGTTACCCGGTTACTGACCAGGTTCAATCTTACGAGCGTACCGATATACGAATTTTTTGAGATAAAAGCCAGTGTTCAGACAATTTGTTGCAGCGCACGTGTTCACCTCGTCCTGGAAGAATTTCTGTTGTGTTCGGTAGTGTTGTGTCTTTTTGACTGTTATCTTGCAAATTTCCTTTAGAGACACCATGGGTCCAAAGAAAATAAGTGTAATAGCAGTGGTGAAAAACAGAAATGTAAAAAAAACAAAAAAGATGAAGAACGTACAAGTATATATATATATATATATATATATATATATATATATATATATATATATATATATATATATATATGTGTGTGTGTGTGTGTGTGTGTGTGTGTGTAGTTAAAATTCTTAGAATGTTAGGTGTCAAAATTGCTAATTATTTTCCTGTAGGTTACTTGTGGCAGTTTAAGCAGGCAAGTTTTTTTGTTTTAAAGTGTTTGGTATCAAAATGTAAAGGTGGATCGTTAATAGAATTAATGTGTAGAAACTTTTCACTTCACCTATTTCAGTCATGCCGACTTCGAAGTTTCGTGAACATTGTGTTGTAAAGCCTTCACACTTCAGAGCAGTTGGCTTCTCTCTGCGAGAAGTCTCTCCATATTAACTCTCTCTCTCTCTCTCTCTCTCTCTCTCTATATATATATATATATATATATATATATATATATATATATATATATATATAACCCGAAAAATTACACAAAGACTCGAACATCTATTGGAATTCTAGCTCACCTTACGTGTAACATGTAACTTGTGCATTCCTTTTGCCTTTACTCATATTATTTTTACAGTTATATTGTACTTATATCTGGAAATTTTAAGCACACTTATTTATATATATATATATATATATATATATATATATATATATATATATATATATATATATATATATATATGTCATGAACAATTATAGGGAAAAACTATGATAAAGTGAATCAAGTTTTCGTGTCATTCGTTTAGAATCTGCAAGCCTATACGCACACATTCTAAACGCCTGACAAAAAAAAACTTTTTTTCAGCAAATAATAGTAAGTCAGACATAATTATTTATGAAGTTGTTTTCGTCGGGATCGTATTTACTTTAGGTGCGTTTGAAACTATCAATAAGGTCGGTCTTGTATAATTTTGATTTCACAGTTGAGTTGTTATATATATATATATATATATATATATATATATATATATATATATATATAGTAGTGAATATACATAATATCCAACATCGATAGCACGTCTCGGAGTTTCATGCAGTTCCTGCAATCTTCAGGTACTGAGATTATTCTGACCGTTACAGTGTTTGCGTTTCTATACAGACAATATATATATATATATATATATATATATATATATATATATATATATATATATATATATATAGTTATCCACATACTGACTGTCTCGCTGTATCACAGCTCCTTAGTGTGGCTAGACCTCCGATTGCTTCAAGCCGGGATAGAAGCCCGACTGATTTAACATCAGTCAGGTAACTTACATCGCACTTAGAAACGAAGGAAATTGTAACGTTTTCTCTATACGAAATACGCCAGCGTCTCGGAGAACTCAATTCAATTTACTTAAAGAGGAATGCTTAACAGCAGTAGAAGCTGCTGTTTTTTAAAACACCTTTTCTTAGAGAGCTCAACCGGTTTTCCGGGAGCATATATATATATATATATATATATATATATATATGAAGAGAGAGAGGGGGGGAAGAGAGAAACAGAAAGATAGAGAGATGAGGGAGTGTATCTTGAGGGTGTGTATCTTTAAAGATAGAGATGTACGAGAGAAATAAGAAACAGAAAGAAAATAGAGAGAGAGAGAGAGATAGAGAGCGAGAGAGAGGTGGGGTTCAAAGGAAAGCGAGAGACAAAGAAAAACAGGCAAGAGACCTGGTAATTAACTTGTTCACCGCATTCCACCATTCAGCCAGTAAGGATTAGCGACAGCGAATTATGACAAATTTTGTTTTCATTTCCCGACATGAATAAATCTGAATTTAGTCTGTGGAATTTCTTTGTTCGCCGTTTCCATCAAAATCATTTGATGTTTTTAATCGCAGCAGCGTTCATGTTCAGAACAACTGTTTGACGAAAGAAAAGAAAGAAAGTACGAAAGCTCTGAAGCGATGAAGCGATAGAGAAATAAAAATCTACAGGAAAAATGATGCCAATATTATCTATCTTTCGCTGTCTCTATCTAGAACTCTGCCTATTATATACATGAGCAACAAAACTTTTATTCATGACTCGTTAAATATGATAGACAAGAAATTTAATTTAATTATTTACATTATTCGGACTGTTATCCTCATCTTCATTGTCATATTCATAACGTTTCGGTCTCTGTATCTCTGAAATGAGGTATTATGATTATTTGCATTATTTACATTATTCCGACTGTTATCCTCATCTTCATTGCCATATTCACAATATTTTGGCATCTATATCTCTGAGATGAGGTATTATGATTACTTGCATTATTTACATTATTCGGACTGCTATCCTCATCTTCATTGCCATATTCATAACGTTTCAGCCTCTATATCTCTGAAATGAGGTATTATGTTTACTTGCATTATTTACATTATTCGGACTGTTATCCTCATCTTCGCTGCCATGCTTACAATGTTTCGGCCTCGGTATCTTTGAGATGAGGTGTTATGATTACTTGCATTATTTACATTAATCGGATTGTTATCCTCATATTTATTGCCATGTTAACTCTTTTCTACAAATATTTTCATGGAACTCTTCTGACGATCTACTTTCAGTGGTAACCCAACTGTGGGTGCCTGCTACTAGGTTGGCATCTCAGTGCAGAGCATTCTGAAAGAGTTGGATGATTCTAATGATGATGACGAATGTGCGGCCGATCGGAAAAGTCACTCTGATCTTTCTGATAAGAAAAGAACTTCTGAATTTGTTCGTTAGGGCCTCGGACTCAATACGGTGGCCAATATCAAGTACCTTGAAAAGATAGTGCTGCCCTGGGTCGAAAGAGTGGCTGCTGGAAGACCCTATATGTGATAAGAGGAATCTGAACTATGCCACAAAAATAGTAGAAAGAATTCATAGATGTCAGACAATTTCTGCGACCACATCATGCCTTACATCGACTGCACCCCCTTGATTATTATGTGTAGGGTACAGTTAAGAGTGATACCAACAAAACTCCTTGTAACACCAAAGATGAACTGAAAGCAAGGATTATGGCAGCATTCACCAACTTGAACAAGGGGACCACCCAGAAGAGTTGCAGGGGATTCCAAAATCGTTTGGGACTCAGTTAAATCCAATGGCGATGTAAAGGAATAAATTTACTCTTTAGTATTTGAAGATAGTTTTGTGTAAGTTTGATCAAAATATCTGTTGAAATGAGATGTCAGTGTTATTTTGATTTTTGTGTAATTTAGACGAAAATTTATCCATCGCTCACTGTATTCCTTCTTTTATAAATGTCTCATTAAATGACAAGGAATACATTATAAGTTTTTTTTGGTCCCGTCTCACACACACACACGTGTGCGCACAGATACATACACACACAAAGGCACGAACGCATTCAGTTTGATATTCGTGTCCAGCCTGTCCTGTTCGCTTTTATGATAGAGACATCACTTCTTGCCACCCCCCGTAAGGGTTAATTATAAGACGGTGTGGGATCTCTAGCCTTGACTGGCAACTTGTTTAGGAGAGAAAAAAAAAACTCTAGGGGAATAAGAAGTCTGAATTGAAAAGCCGTTAATCATAGGGTTTCAACTAACCTCCATAAAACCTTCTTGCTTCAGAAACCACTGCGGTCCTACCATGGTGAAGCTGTGGCCTCATAGTCCAAGTGAGTCTACAAGCTTCACACACACACACACACACACTGGCGCAATTAAACATTTATGAAAACACGATGATGTCTCTCTTTCTATTTCTATCCGTCCTAAATACATTTTTGTTAAACATTTCTCCTCGAGCAAGTAAATAAAGCCTAAGGTTTACTGAGTGTTAGATATTATGAGGAAGAAAAACGCTATTAAGGAGAGAGAACATTAAAAAAAAGAGAAGACACTAGATAAAGATTGACACTGAATTTAACTATTTAAAGATCAAGTTCCAATTCCAATAGGGTTTGTTAAATTCACTTACGCACTGTTTCCCTTGGGAAAGGCATGAATCAAACCATCCCTTCTTTCTCTTCCACCTATGCGTTAGTAAAATTCGTATCATTATTAATTTTGATTAGATGTAAAAAAAATATATCAACCAAGTAATAAACACGGTGTCCATAAAGTCTCTTTACAATTTAAAAAAAAAAAGTATTACAAAAGGAAATGAACAGGTAAATACGCCTCAATATGGGCACCATTCGTTGCCCGCAGCACATCAAGCCAGTATCTTTTACTTTAGATCCGTGATGTCACGTATCTTTGTTCAATACAAGATATCTTTAACATAACTCCATAGAAAGAAGTCCAGGGAATCGATATCTGGTGAACGGGATTGCCATGGAATTGGGCTATCCCATTCCAATACACTGGTCTGGAGGTGTTAGGGGTTCATTTAACAGTACCCCTTTCATTAACAGGATACACAAAATACACAAATGCAATGTGATTAAAAACTTTGATAAATACTGAGTACAAAGAACAAATCTGTTTAAGATATGTCATTAATTGCATTTCTAATATACTTTTTAACTTGTAAAGAGAATTTATGTACACCCTGTATATTTTCACACACACACACGCACACACACACACACACACACACACACACACACATATATATATGTGTGTGAAAAGTGTATATAAATATAAATAAATATATATATGTATAATTATTTATATATTATATGCGCGGTACTTATTAGAAAGCGCTCAATGACATGTATACATTAACGAGACATTTCCGCCACACTTCCAATGTTTAAACTTCAACATTTCAACATACAAATGCGTATGTATAGACATAACACCACCCGTATACATACATGTGTCATAGCCGAAACTGCCCACATACGTTTATATATGTATGAGTCCCGACGGACGACCAAGTATGTATATGTGTCTGCATACATCGATGTTTGCGTTAGTACGATGAATGACAAAACGACGAAATTTCCCCCACCACTTCCACAATAACACCAATACACGCAATCTACATAAACCCAAATTTTTTTAAAACATTAATCAGTTTGTCTGACGATCGCTAAAGCGTGAAACCCAGGGTCACAAACTCACATCTATCCAAATATAATATATATATATATATATATATATATATATATATATATATAAACACCAGAAACTTTTAGCATCATACAAATAGGTGAGCAGTAATATTAGGATCAAACAAGGTTCTTAGCTCTTGTCTTCATTAATGATAATTAATTGAGATTGGGATGAAATATTTTGTATATACAGGGTGTTCATAAAGTCCCTTTAAAAAAATATTACAAAGGTAAATGAACAAATATGTGGAAATTGTCACAAAATGAGTATCTGATATTGAAGTTTTTTTTTAACTGATTTAATACATTTCTATATGGGCACCATTATTTGGATGAAGCACATCAGGCCGTTACTCGATTTCATGCCGTGTTCGCTGTAGCCTAGCCTCATCAGTGGTGGCAATAGCATCAGTTATCTTTTGCTTTCGATCAGTAATGTCCTGTGTCTTTGTTCGATACACGATATCTTTAAAATAACCCCATAGAAAGAGGTCCTGAAAAGTGATATCTGGAAGAGAAAATTGGGCCACATCTTTCAATCGACTGGTCTTGATGTAGGAACCTACGGAGTCCACAATGTGATGTGTGCACCATCTTCCTGGAAAATGATGGTTGGTTGAAGGTCATCTAGTTGTGGTGCCACATCAATTGCTTTTGTAATATATTATTTTTAAATTGTAAAGAGCTTTTATGGACATCCTGTATATATTAAAACCAAAGTACTATAAAAAAATCTATCAATCCATAATTTACAAGATCCTTTAAGATAAATTCTGTTGGAAAACACTAGAATTCTATATAAATCACATTATCAGAAACATCTTGCTATTAGAGAGGCCTGTATATTAAGGATTAATTATTGGGGTTATAAAGCATTTATCTCCGACAATCAAATTTACATTATTTAACAGTGGAAATGGAGAATTGAATTTTTTTTTTTTACATAGTTACTACCGAGAATTCCGGCCGCACATGTGAGGGCTCGGAATTAACGCTCCGATTCAAAATCAAACAAAAAATAAATTAAAGCGTAACAGTCAAAACATGAGGAAAAATAGGAAGACCAGAGAATAAAGCCCTTTGCAAATGACTAAAGAAGTGGCCGAAAGCACTTGGGCCAATGAAAATTATGGAAACTTTTTTGTACTTCCTTTCTTCTACAAAACAGAAAAACGAAAGGATGCTGGGAAAACTTAATAAAATAATTAATTATATATTCTTTGTCGACCGGATTTAATGAAAAATGTTTGAAAGAAAGATTAAGCCGAAATATATATATATATATATATATATATATATATATATATATATATATATATATATATACATTATATATATATATATATATATATACGGATGGATGTATAAATAACATTAGAAAGATAGGTTTTATAGCCTGAAATAGATAAATAGATATGAATATATATATATATATATATATATATATATATATATATATATATATATATATATATGTATGTATTTATATAATAATAATAATAATAATCTTATAAATATAAATAATTATACTCGTCTGGAAAATTTTTTCTGTGTTTTGGCTTGCAAATGAACAAACCAACAATAAGGAAAAAATAAGGTATAAAAAAAAAGAACTAAGAACATGTAATTGAGGAATGAAAGCAACATGAGTAAAAAAAAATGGCAAAAGGTGCCCTGAGGATCCCCGTAGGTGAATCCTAGGTAGGTTTGCCTGGCTCTTTAGGTTCATAGTTATATATATATATATATATATATATATATATATATATATATATATATATAGTTCATAGTTAAATATATATATATATATATATATATATATATATATATATATATATATATATATATATTATGGTTGGTTATGAAAGCTTAGATTGGATTAAAAATATGGATCAATATTGTTATTTTCTTTATTCGTTTAATGATAATGTTATTAAACTTATCAGACGATTGAAAAAGAATTTACATAAAATAAATAGACAACACTTGTCTATATTATTTAATGAAACATGTATGAATATATATATATATATATATATATATATATATATATATATATATATATATATAGATGGAGAACAGAACAAGTGATAACTAGCTAGCTACCTACCTAGATAGATAGATAAATATATATAGAGATAATTCAGAGAATAAGATAGATAGATAGATAGATAGATAGATAGATAATGCAGAGAATTAGATAGATAGATAGATAGATAGATAGATAGATAGATAGATAATGCAGAGAATTAGATAGATAGATAGATAGATAGATAAAGAACAACCAAAAGTAGCTAGTTAGCGAGATATATCGGAACAGCTTGAGTTCGATGACGTAAAGAAGCTACTACTACTACAAACTACTACGACTACTACTACTACTACTACTACTACTGCAGCAGTTTCTCCACTTTATTTAAAAGAAGCAGTAGGAGCTGTGATCGCGTTTGCCACAACAATAATGACGAGAAAACGAATTGAAACGCGGAAATAAACTATAGCAATAGTAGTAGTAGTAGTGATAGATTTTCCTGTTCAGGTCGTAATGCCTGGAGGTTTTGTGACAGTGAATCTACGACGGGATTGTTGACGCTGACTTTACTTTCTTTCACAGAAATGAAAAGGATTAGAAAAAGGCCGTTGACATTTTGGGGAGACATCACGAGGAAAGGGAAACTGATGAATTTGTCACTCATAGCACATATTAAAGATGGACAAAAGAAGACAGCGTGTAACCTACCGGACAAGTTTGTGTAAATTGACGACGGTACGGACATCAGAGACCATTGTGTGCAATATGGTGCAGGTTTTTGATAAAATCAGCACATAAGCTTGCTGTTGGAGTCCAGTTAGAAATAAATTCAGTTCGTGTAACCAAGTCGCTTCTATTATTTACAAGCATTTGGATGGGACCCCCACGTCACCTTGGTTGACTCATCTTTGAAATTAAAAAAGGTCAATTCGCTTGACGTCGTGCCATGAGACTGCCCTAGAATTTCCAATGGTGAGATGCTGCGTCAGCCACTATAGTTAAGCTAAAACAACTGACAAGCAAATACACTAAGACAGATTATGTACATGTTAACACCCCCCCCCCAGAAATCGATTAGGGTCAGAAGCCTCTTCAGATTGGTGTAGAATAAGAGAACTATTATTATTATTACTGTTGTTGTTGTTGTTGCTGTTGTTGTGTTTTGATACATATTGTACGTTTTTGAATAGATCAGGTACGTTTAGTCATATGATAGGTCACAACAAGGGTCTCAAAATATTTTCTCAAAACATGCCCAGTACCTAAAAGAGCCGATTTTTTTTTAAGTGACTCTAAGTTGGTAAGATATCTTCAGCCTAGTCAAGGAAGTCCCAAATTTTTAAGAGGATTGATTCCAGTGCTCCAATCACCACTGGAATCACCTTGACATTCACTTCTCGCATTCCAAACAATCTTGCCATCTCAAATTACAAATCAAAGTAGTCTGAAATTTTCTCAGTCACATTGTTTGCTGGATTTGTGTCATTTGGTTTGGCGACATCAATAAAATGACAATTCTTGGTGCCTTTATTTAAAACAATAATATCTGAAAGGTGCTGGTGGATCACTATGAAGGTCAAAGTCACCAAAGATTGCCATATTATTATTATCATTATTATTGTTATTGTTGTTTTTGTATTCATACTACTACTACTACTACTACTTATTATTATTAGTAGTAGTTGTTGTCGTCGTAGTAGTCGTGTTATAAATTAAAAAAAATAATGTAAGTCTTTCTATTGTTGTAATGTAGCTTTCTAGAGAACCGCGGGTTTGAATGTTGTTGAATTAGAAACACGTGCGTTTATTTCCTGCTAGAAGAAGGTCCAAATAAAAAACAATGGCGGACTCAAGTTGAGTCCAACTGAAGATGTAAAGAAAACAAACAAGATATATATATATATATATATATATATATATATATATATATATATATATATATATATATAGATAGAATATATATATATATATATGTCAACAAATATAAACAACAAATTTACAAGTGACAAAGACATCAACATTTGTGTTTGTGTGTGAACGTAAAGAGTTTGTATGTTGGTGAATGTTCGTACGTACGTGTATGTGTGTTTCATGGCGTTTTCCCCGCAAGTGGGCGAAAACGCGGATCTATGCGAAAGATCACATTTTGAAATGTGTCCGCAGAAATGCAAAGTGAAAAGAGAACGCGGCAAGACGTCGCCCAGTATTTATAGTGTAGTGAGTGCGACCCCTAGTTGCCAATTAGGGAATTAAGGAGGAGATAACTTCGACAGATTCTCTGTATAATTTTCTATAAACACTTTCATGATGGAATCTCCTCTATGGTACCTAGACTGTATGAATTCAAACGCAGTGCTAGATTAGCGGCAAGGTCTCACTGTTTTACAGATGGAATGGTTAGATGTAACAGGAAGTTATATGCTAAAAGTTTCTTTTTTCGCACTTCCGGCTTTCCGCTTTCCAATCAAGTTTGATTTTGAAAAATTTAAATAGAGTGTCGTTATCTTTAAATTCTGTTCTTTTATTGTTATCGCTCTTGAATATTATTTGTTTGTTATATTCTTTCACACTCAGTTACCCCCCCTATGCGTCTTAGTGACTTTGTTGCCTTGCTTGGGGTTAAATGATTAAAAAAGTAAAAGAAAGCAAAACAATGAATCTAATAATATCAATAACGTTATCGATACAAACTAATGTTAATATTTTAAAAATATTTGAAATGATGACCACCACAGTGACAATAAATTAAAAAAAACAATTAATTGAATATTGGAATAAAGTAAGGAATCGAGGAGAAGGAAGATGCACCTTGCTGCTAACGCGTGATTTGCAATTCTGCTAATCGCATGTGTCCAACGATTAGACGACAAGTAAGCGCCATTGTTAATGGTAGCAGGAGATGAATTGTGGTATGGGAAGAAATGTTGAGAAAATGGAGATTAGCGAGTGGACAGCCCTCCGTCCCCGAAAAAGATAATATCTGTGGGGTGGGGGAGTCTAGGCACAAAACTGAGCAGAGAATAAGGATCAGCACCTCGATGAAGACAATACCTCGCTGCCCGGGCAATCTCCGAAAATAATGATGACGTCAACCCTGCTGTCAATGTGGTGTGGGTCAGGCGTATTTACAGGAGGAGTTTTTTGAGTGAAGCGGGAAAGAAAGGGACTGGGAAATAAAACGTTAGGCTTGATATGTATATATATATATATATATATATATATATATATATATATATATATATATATAATGAGTGAGAGAAGTGAAAGAGGGAGATATGAATAGACTTCGATAAGGACAGAGATAGATCTGAATATACTGAGATAGAAATAGGGAGATGGGGCGTGAATCGGCTTGGATGGATAGATAGATAGATAGATAGATAGATAGAGAGAGAGAGAGAGAGAGAGAGAGAGAGAGAGATGAATAGAACAGATATGGAACAGATGGGACAGATATATATATATATATATATATATATAAAGATATAAGGGATAGGTAGATTGAGAGATGAATGACTTCGATATGAACAAATTGAGATAGATAGATAGATAGGGAGAAAGAACAGAGATATATAAACTTCGATATGAACCGATTGAAATAGATAGATAGATAGATAGATAGAGTTCGATATGATCAGATTGTGATATATAAAGAAAGAAAGAGACGCTATATATATATATATATATATATATATATATATATAGATAGATAGATAGATAGACCTCGATATGAACAAACTGAGATAGATAGATAGATAGATAGATATTGAGTGAGTGAGGAAATGAGCGGATAGACAAAGAGAGAGAGAGATGCATAGACTTCCATATGAAGAGACAGCTAAATAGGAGATAGATAGATAAATAGATAGACCTCGATATGAACAAACTGATATAGATAGATAGATAGATAGATAGATAGATCGATAGATAGATAGATAGATAGATAGATATTGAGTGAGTGAGGAAATGAGCGGATAGACAAAGAGAGAGAGAGAGAGATGCATAGATTTCCATATGAAAAGACAGCTAAATAGGGAGAGCGAGCGAGAGAAACTTTAAATGAGATCAAGAGAGAGAAACCTTAAATAAATCGAGAGAGAGACAGAGAGAGGCAGAGAAGGAGAGAGGGAGAGGAAGGGAGTGGAACAGAAAACTATAATAACAACTTTCGTGACGAGAAATAGGTCACGGCTTTTTGTCATTATTTGTTTGAGTAAACAGAGAGAGATTTTTTTTTCAAAGTAGGTCGTTAATTTTTATCCCCTGTATTTGTCACCCCCACTTTTGTTGGTTTTGTGAGTGGGCAGACGAGAGGAGTTGTTTTGGAGGTGGGGCTATAAGGCCGTTCGTCCGACTCAGGCAAGGGCTGGAAGCTTGGGTTATAATATTGTCTTGGTCTAGGCAGCAAAACCTCATCTGCATAGAGCTGGTCTATTCATATAAAACACCTGGAGAGGCCATATGCGGCACCCGGCCGAACAACTTTTACAATAACAGAAAGTCGTCCATGTTTGACAGAGCAACGCCTTTTGTGAAAGAACAATTTTGTTTATTTAATTTTATTTTTATATACACGATGTCCCCTCCAAATCTCTCCACACTTTATTATTTATGGAATATAAAGAGAGAAGGGATAGATGGATATAGATTTCGATATGAACAGATTAAGATAGATAGATAGATAGATAGATAGATAGATAGATAGATATGAACGGATTGGGATACTTTCTATAAGAACAGATTAAGAGAGATAGATAAATAGATAGACATATAGAGAGAAGCTTCGATATAAACAGATAGACAGATAGGTAGGTAGGTAGGTAGGTAGGTAGGTAGGTAGGTAAATATATAGAGAGAAGCTTCTATATAAATAGATAGATAGATAGATAGACAGACAGACAGACAAACAGATAGATAGATATGTAAGCAAATATATGGATATAGATCCGACAGTATGAAGAAAAATATACGGAAAAAAACAAACAAAAATCCTTATATGTAATTATGCTGTTTTAATGTTAATATAATGTCAACGTCGGACGTTTCGGTCTAATAAACCATCTTCAGGGCATATTCATAAAATATAATTAATTTATCAATTAATTATTTTATGAATATGTCATGTTGAAGATGGTTTATTAGACCGAAACGTCCGACGTTGACATTATATTAACATTAAAACAGCATAATTACATATAAGAATTTTTGTTTTTTCCGTATATTTTCCTTCATAGATAGAAAGACAGATAGGTAGGTAGGTAGGTAAATAGATAGATATATAGAGAGAAGCTTCGATATAAATAGATAGATAGATAGACAGACAGAAAGATAGATAGATATATAGACAGATAGATATGAACGAACTGAGATAGCTAGAGAATGATTCATGTCTACTAGCTGCCTTTGTATTGCTCTGTCTGATAACATTCTGAGCATATATATCACGTCCATGGAATTCTTTGTTTAAGTTTCCGATATAAGACGAAAATATATATAAAAAAGCAATATAAAACGAAAACTATGTTACGCACTACTTACCACTGTCTTTCCTTTCCTCAATCTGCCATGTGAGTTTCAGATTTTCCGAGCCGTCCTTCCACATTACGTGCCGCAGAAATTTTCAAATGCCTCTTCTTGATATTAAGTATAAGTTTCCTTTTTGTTTCCATTTCCTCTAAAACATCGCCGTTGCTCACATTATCGATCCATGATATCCTCATCATCCTCCTGTAGAAATTTCAACTGCCTCTTCTTGACATTAAGTAGAAGTTTCTTTTTTGTTTCTATTTTCTCTAAAACATCGTCGTAGCTCACATTTTTGGTTTATGGCATCCTTATCATCCTTCTTTAGAAATTTCAACAGCCTCTTCCTGATATTAAGTGTAAGTTTCCTTTTTGTTTCTATTTTTTCTAAAACATCATCGTAGCTCACATTTTTGGTTTATGGCATCCTCATCATCCTTCTGTAGAATCACATTTCTGTTCTTTCAAGTCTTCTTTATATCTCTGAAGAGATTGTCCACCATTCGTTGCCATTTAGGAGGACAGATATCACATAACAGTTCAATACTTTTTTCTTTGCTTCAAACGAATTTTTTCTGTCTCTTAATACTCTGCTTAGCTTTTGGAATGCATCTTTGGTCATCCCAATACATCTTCGAATCTCAGTGTCACACTTTCCAACCTCTTTTAGAACTCTTCCCAGATATTTATATTTTTGTATTTGTTTGATTTTAATATCCCCGATTTGTAATTTGCATTTTGGGTTCACCCTTTTGCTGATAACCATGCATTCTGTCTACTTGTAGTTTATATTTAGTCCTTTCTTCTTGCTTTCCTTCGCTAACTTCTGAAGGGGCTTTTGTAGATTCATTTCCATGTCTGCTATCAAAACTGTCATCTGCATATCTTATGTTGTTAAGATTATGGCCGCCAATAATGAATCCTGGTAGGACTTCTAATTCTCTCAGAATTGCCTCGCTGTATGAATTGAATGAATACAGTGAGAAGACACACCCTTATTTTACACCCCTTTCTATTTTCATATATCTACTGAATTCATTTTCTGCCAATATAGGTTTTTGATTATTCTAATGTCCTTCCTGAATATAACAAACTTGCCCAGCATCTCTAATAGACCTTTGTGGCGTACTTTGTCGAAAGCCTTTCCGTAATCTATAAAACAACAGGTATACGTCCTTCTGCCTTTATATTGCTCTTTCTGATAACATTCTGAACATAGCGATCACATTCCTTGTTTTAGTGTCTTTTTATGAACCTTAATTGTTTTTTGTTCTATTTCCAATCTGATTCTGTTGCACAGTCTATTCGTCAGAATTTGGATAAATATTGTTATATGGTTCATTAGGCAGATTGTCCGATGGAGTTCACATTCGCTTACACTTGGCTTCTTAGGCAGTGCTATGAAACTAGATCTACTTTGGTCTTTTGGTATATCACCACTGTTATAGATTTCAGTTATTATATATCTCTTGTCTATGGGGAAATTATCTAAGGCTACCAGCATCTCTATTAAGATTTCGTCTGGTCTTGCCGTGTTGATTTTGTTCAATTTGACCAGTGCAGATTCCATTTATTTTAACGTTTCCGGTTCGTCGATATTTCTGTGTATTGTCGGCTGCTCGCTTCCATCATGGAAGAATTCTCCGATATATTCGTTCCATCTCTGAAGTATGTTTTCTTTCTCTAACATCACTGTTCTTGAGGCGGTTTTTTTTTAATAAATATTCCGGATCAGGTAAGGACTGTAGTTGTCAACAAAGTCTGCAGACATGTTTTTGAGGCCGCTTAGTATTGGCAGGCAGCCATTTTTTTTTTTTTTTATAAATGATATCCATTTTTTTTATTTTCGAGGTTAATGCGTGAACATGAACAATAAATAAAATCCTAGTTGAATTTTCTTGAAAGATATTCGCACAAGTCATGACTAGAAATTATTATAAGAGCGAACAGCTATTCTTTTTCAGTTACTGGTTTTGGGATCAATCTTTCGGATCGATACAAATTATCAGCCCGATTATTTACGTCATTTCACAGAGGAATACTGGCATTTTTCTCACCGAATTCTATAATGAAATGCCGTCATTAAATATCCAATCTCTCCGTAATGAAAAATTACTAAAATTGAATCATTATTTTTGTTTGTTTTTAATTTTTTTCTTTCTATTATTTTTCGACTTTAGGATATTAATTTGAAAAATGTTAAATCTGTTTTACAGACCCGATTTTTACATAACTTTTTCGTAATTGCTTAAATGATTTGATTTGTAATTACCGTGAATCCCTATGTATAGTACGCATTTTTTTCTAAAAAATAATAAGCAAAATTAGAGGTGCGTGTTATGCATAGCTACAAAAAATCTTTAAAAAATTGCAGTTTCATAGGTCGATTTCAGTTGCGAAATGACTACTCACCACAAACATACGACAATTTGACACTAACATTGGGCTATTGTGATCCCATAAGAATGTCAAATACAATCATATGTACCTAACAATACTTACAAATGTAAAATAAAATAAGAATTATCATAAAACTAAATTAGAATAATATTATTCTATGTTCAAAACCATTTTTTTTTTCAAATAACAATAGGAAACGATGGCCGTAATGACATTGGAGAAGTACAATTTATAGGGTTTCATTACAAAAAAGGGGTGCGTATCATGTGTGAGTAGAAACATTTTCCAACAATTTCAGCACAATTTTAGTGGTGCGTATTATGGATGAATGCGTATTATACATGGGGAATTAAGGTAACTTTTAATAAGTTTGGCTTACTCTGGTATATGCTATGTGAACAGAGGAACCAATGTTATGTCTGATTTTCTGGTATGAGGAGACGCCATTATTTACATCCGGACTAATATCTCTATCTTTGTTGTTATTATCACAACATTTAGTCTGTACAGTTTGCAGATGACCATACTTCTTCTTAAAATTGATACTTCGTCTTTTCTTCCCGCTTTCCTTTATGACTTTTTCTAGGCGTTCTTGCTGTGTTTTTTTCTTTGTCTACATCATACTTAATTTATGTCCTCGTTTTTTGTTTTTATTATTATCACGTGATTTCGGCCGGTGTTTCATCCGGCCTTCACCTGGTGCCCGTCGATCCTGATAACATTTTTTGTTTGTCATCATTTCACACCAAACAAAGCAGGAATGTCACTAGTACGCTGGGGTAAGGGTTAAGGGAAAGAGAAAACTGAGAATAGGAAGGGTTGAAGAAAGGACAAAAGATGAACGGGATTCAAGAAGACAGAAGACGGCAATTGAGGTCTTATTTAAATTTTTGAAGATTGTAGTTTTCAGGGAAGCGAGTAAACGGAAAGGAGTTCCACAGGTGGGAAGTGCGAGAAAAATAAACTGTTGGTCGCGATTAGCTATTCTAGCATAAACGGGTGGACCTAACGGTCGCCATTATCTATTCCAGCATAAACGGGTGGGACCTAGATGCCATTCTAGTAGCACGTTTAAATTCATATAGTCGGGGTACCGGCTAATATGATCGTCCGGGCAGATGCCATGAAAATATTTGTAGAAAATAGTGAGGGAAGTTACTCCACGTCGGTGAGAAAGTGAGTGAAGTCGAGATGCCAGGTCAGGATCGATAACATTGCAGATCGTTCTTTGGATTTTGTCTAGAATCTCGAGATGTGCAGCAAGAGCACCTGACCTTTAAGTAAGTACCTCCACGAAATGTAAACAAAAAGAGCAAAGCATGATGAAAAAGACGCCGAACTTGACGAAAACAAAATTTTATCGTCTAATGTTCATATTATTATTAAAGAGGAAAGATCAAAGTATTTTTGGGGTATTTTCTTACATTTTTTTTTTTTCGTTAAAAATATTGTTTTTCTTTGTCAAAAAAATGGACAGATAATCCATCATTTTCAATCATTTTTTTCCATTTTATAAAGAAGATGAAAATCTCACTTTGACATTCTTTTAAAAATCAATTATCATTTTTTCAAAACTTATTTTAATAGAATCAGAAATTATAATGTTTATTTAAATATTTTGAACCAAGCTTAACTTAGCTTCTGCGCCGATAAAATGTAATTTAAAAATAAAACAATGCAGGTCATAACCTTTCGCGCCACTTGACAGGTGACGAAAGACATTTTCATGCTGTTTAGATAACTTACGGGAGGATAATTCTTTCTACGGATGGAAGGAAGTGAACAATATTATTTACCTCGTTACTTTTAAGGAAAACTTTCAGCTCTCTAATTTTTTAATTTTTTTTTTTTGTACTCAGCTTTCATCTTTACGTTTAGGATGCTTTATGGAAAATATATTATAAAGAAATTAAAAAATAAGACTGTTAAGAGTGAGATTAAATTTCATAAGAAAGGTATCTGATTAATTTATAGGTACCTTTCTTATGAAATTTTATCAGAAGTGTACATAAAATACTATAATTTTATGTACATTTATTACATTTTACTGTGTTATTTGTATTTCCACTCATGTCATAACCGAGATTAATATAAAAATAAGATCATATAGATTAAAGATTAGCAGCAATAGTTAAATTTCATAAGATGATACTGTTACTTGTAGGTACCCTTCTCAGTTGAAACTGAAAAATCAAATTAACTTCTCCATACATGTTTCGCAAAAGTAAAGGCCTTAAGAGCGGAGAACAATGCTGAACTCAAATAAAGCAACTTAATTGTATTTTGGTTGGTCTTCCGTACTTTATAATTACCGCCCGATTATAAACACATGCTCTTTTTTTTTAGCGATTTCGTGGAGTTACCTACCTTTAAGGGATTTCGAACTGGACTCTTTATTTAATAATCTAGTCATAAAAGTGTTGATTCGTGAATTTGGTTGTGAAGTAATTCTAAGTTCAATCCCT